TAAGAGTCCTACTTAACTTGAATCTATACCCCCTGCTGCTGCAATTGGTTTTTAGGTTGTACCGTTGTTATCATCTCCCTCCCATTCTAGATACCCCTCCTCATCTTCTGCTGGTGGTGTGCCCAGGGGGTGTCCCGGACTCTTGTCTGGCTACTTCTTTTACTTGCCCATTTACAGTTACAGCTGGGTATCGTGTTGGGGGATGTTCCAGTGGGTCACCTGAGCATCAGGCACATTCCTCTCTGATGCTGTTAGGTAACAGCCTGAGCTCCTCATGAGGATTAGGATCAATTGCTTCCTCCAGTGTGGCAACTGCTTTTTTTGCCTGTATGTCTAGTGGCATGAGGATGGAGTGGTGGGACTCCCTACGATGAGGATGGAGTGGTGGGACCCCTCACCATGAGGATGCAGTGGTGGGACCCCTCACCATGAGGATGCAGTGGTGGGACCCCTCACCATGAGGATGCAGTGGTGGGACTCCTCATGATGAGAATTAAATGAGATGAAGCTTTCAGACTAGTGCCTAGATGGCTGTTTGCATATTATCATTAGCAGCTAGTTACCCACATTTGTTCCTCCAGAGAAGGAAAAGAAAGGCTTACCCATAATTTAAAGGCATGTCTCCACCCCACTACCCCGCCCCCGCTTGTGCGCGCGAGCCCACGCCCTCTCTCTCTCAAAAAATAATAAATCTTTTTTGAAGTTTTACATATTGTAACAATAGAGAAAAATCTAGTTTGAAAGAAAAAGATAGTTTGACCATTTGAAATCTGAGCGGTAAGGAGTGGGTGGCCTCCGAACAAGTGAGCTCTACAGTGGAGTGGTCCTGTTATTCCATCTAGTGGACAGCACGGGAAAGGCATGATTTTATCTTCAAAGGTTGTAATTTACCAAAAACATGTATCCTGATAAAAACTCACGGGTTCACTTGTTAATAAGTTTCATTCAATTTTTAAACCAAAATGAAGATCAGAATTCCAACACTAAGTTTGGAAACTAAATTCCCAAAAACATTTAGGATTTATGTGATGTATGCTAGAAAGATCATCCACTGAAGGAAAAGAGAATATACACCAGTTCTTAACTAGCATGAATTTTCACAGCCCACCTTTCCCATTCTTCTTATCCTTCTCCACCAACATTTTTATGCTTATTCTGGTACATGGACTGGGAGTGCCCCAGAGACTCAAAGTATACCTTCCCAACACACCACTAGACCTTGACTGGTACCAGAGCCATTCTGCTCATTTTCCAAGTATGCAACTATCACACGGGGCGCCTGGGTGGCTCAGTCGTTAAGCGTCTGCCTTTGGCTCAGGTCACGATCTCAGGGTCCTGGGATCGAGCCCCGCATCGGGCTCCCTGCTCTGCGGGAAGCCTGCTTCTCCCTCTCCTGCTCCCCCTGCTTGTGTTCCCTCTCTCGCTGT